GCCAGGTCCGGGACTCGAACTGGGATCAGCCATGTGGGAGTCCAGCACCTTAACCACCACGCCACTGGCTGGCCTGCTGCTTCCTTTCTTTTTCTACCTCCAGTTCTTCTTTCTCACTTCCTTCCTCTTTCCGAGGCTCTTTTTGTTCCCTTCCCCCCTCCTATCTTCCCTGTATCCTTTTTATTTCCTTCCCCTCTCTCTTTCACCTTCTCTGTCTCTCTCTCTTTTTTTTTTTTTTTGAGAGGTTTTTGCTATAGCGCATGTGCGCTTGCCAGACGGAGACAGAAAGCGACAAATCACCCCCCAGGGGGGATGGTCACGCCGCAATCCCTTCTCCTCCATTCTCCTCTCGGGATCTTGGGCACGCACGCACACGCGCCTGGCGTGAGTTTTAAGCCACCGGGTCCGGGACACGAACCGCGGTCGACTACATGGGAATCCAGCGACATAGCCATTACGCTAACTGCTGGTTCCCCCCATGATACCCATTTTTAATGAACTTTTCCAAACCCTTCTGTATTTCCCGTGCCGGATTTAGAGCTCCACGTGGAAAGGAAGTCTGTCTGTCTTGTTCATAGTTAGGCACCCAATAAGAACAGCCTCTCTATGAATACTTCCCAAAGGAGTAAAAAAATATTCGCCAACAGTAATGGGAACTCTATTTTGCCTGGTCCTGGATCTAAATGTCTGACAGGGATCACCGAGTTGAAACTCCACAGTGGTATTAGAACATCGGCCCTGTTAGTATTCTCATTTCCTGTCATCTTAAATGTCACCTCCTCTGAGAAGCCTTCCCTGATTATGTCCTAGCCTCCTGGAGTGGGCCAAGCCCAGCCTGTGAATTCTTCAACACGGTTGCCATTTCAGGTTCCTCTGCGTAATTCTCAGTTTAATCTCTACAAGGAGACTTCAATGATTTGTGGAACAGTGGAATTCAAATATGAGTTTAGGACACGGGTGGTAAGGCAGATCGAGACCCATATCCAGGCGGTGGTTCCCGAGCCTGCAGCTTCCCATCCTTCGGGCACTGGTGGGGAAGGACAGGCGGGCGGCGGAGGGCGGGACTCACCCACAGAGGCGATGTCGGCCAGCTGATCCTCAGCCTCCTCGGGGTTGAGCAGGTCTGTCTTGCTCTTCTTTATGGTGGCTCTCCGCAGAGCTCCAACAATGGAAACATGGCAAGAGAAAAAGACGTTATCCTTTTTGCAACGAGGACGGCGCCGACAGCACGGTGTCCTTGGAGAGTCAACCCGGGTGACTGGCGGCCTTGGTGGGCACTCGCGGTATGCCCACGTTACCGATGGCCAGGCCAGAGCAGACTGGGTTATGAACACCCTTGAACGCTCCTCCTCCCAGATGTGGGCGTCCAGGGGATGAGAGTTAAAGCACTCGGGCTAGAGGGAGCAATTCACAGCCCAACGAAATAACTTGTCAAGTCCAAGTGCATTTTGTCATTCGTTGGAACTCGGCCTCAAAGCCTTTATTTCCTTCTTATGGTATTTCCAAACAGAAGTCATGGCTCTGTATAGCCAAGTTTGTTTGTTTCTTTCTTTCTTTCTTTCTTTCTTTTGTTTTTTTCTTCCTTCCTTCCTTCCTTCTTTTTTTTTCTTTTTAACAGAGATTTTGGCTATAGGGCATGTATACTCTCCAGAGAGAGGGGGAGAGAGACAGAGACAGAAAATGAGAAATCACCCCCTAGGGGATAGCCATGCAACGCTCCCTTTTCCACTGTCCTCTTAGGATCTTGGCCATACATGCACACAGCATGAGGTTTAAGCCACCGGGTCTGGGACTTGAACCACGATCGACTACATGAGAGTCCAGCAATGTGACCATCTGCTGGTCCCCTAGCTAAATTTCTAACATGTCAGATGACTGTCCTTAACAATCAGCTGAATTCTTGGTGGGCTTATTATCCATTCATTTATTTATGTATTTATTTATTTTAAAGAATTACTTAATTTTATTTATTCATTAGCTTATTTTAATTTGACCCAGAGAGAGACACACAGACAGAGAAAGAGAAAGAGAGAAAGCAAGAAAGCAAGCCACCAGGTCCAGGATTCGAACCGTGGTCAGCCATGTGGGAGTGTCCAGCACCTTCACCACCATGCCACCTGCTGGTCCCCCATTCATTTATTTATTTAGCAAACAGAAATGGCACTGACTTGGTGCCAGACAAGATCGTAGGTGTTCTATGTATCATAATCATGCAATCCTCAGAAACAATGGTGTGAGGTAGGGATTATTAAGATGATGGCCAGTTTTACAGACAGGAAAAAGAGGCCCAAAGAAGACGTTGATGGGCATATGGTTAAAAGCAGAAAAAGGGAGGCCAGAAGCCAAAAAAGTAATGGGCACTGAAGTACTCTGCGAAGCAGATTTCTGCCATTCCCCAGGTCTTCTTTTTCTTTTTAAAGACTTATTTTATTTATTTTAATTTGACAGAGAGGGACAGAGTGAGAGAAAGAGAGAGCGAAAGGGAGAAAGCAAGCTGCCAGGTCTGGGGACTTGAACCGTGGTCGGCCATGTAGGAGTCCAGTGTCCTTAACTATCACGCCCCCTGCTGGCCCCATCCCAGGTCTTCTTGAGCCTGACCCAGTCTCGTATTTTATCTTGGCATGACCTGGGCATGGAATGTCCACCCCCTGCGGCCCCCTAGTCCCAGGCTGCTCCCATCTCCCCTGGGGCCCACCCCAGAGCTGGGTTCAGAACAGTTACCATCAAAGGGGTGCCTCTGATCTCCATCGGTCTCGTCCTCGGCGAGGATCACCTCTTCTGAGGAGGGAGAGCACAGAGTCAGCGTCTGCATCTGGAGATGGGTTCCCTCCAGTTGGGAAGAAGGGTCCACCAGGCCGCCCCCCCCACTCCACCCTTTGCGGATGGACAACGTGATCAGCCAGCGCTGGGCTGGGGGCTGTCTCTGATGCCCGGCCCATCTTAGCACCAGTAGCCATAGCCAATCTTACCCCCACTCAAAATCTCACCCACAATCCAAACCAGCGTCTTCACCATCGACTGCAAGCTCCTGCTTGATTTGGCCCTGGTCACCTCCTTGTTCTCCTCTCCTCCCACTCCCCAGCCCACTCCCTCTGCTCCTGCCACAGTGGCTTCCTCCTTCTTTCCCAACTGTGCAGCTGCCTCACGGGCTGTGACTCTGCTGTCCCCTTCGCCTGGGATGGCCCTCTCCTTGATATCCCAGAGATTCCTTCTTTATTACCTTCAAGTCTCCGATCAGATACCACTTCCTCAGAGAGGCCTTCCCTCACTACCCCCCAACTAGCCTCTGCTTTCTTTCTTTTGTTTTGTTTTCTAAATCATTATTTGATTTAATTTTATTTATTCATTCATTTTATTTTAATTTGACCAGAGAGAGACACTCACATAGAGAGACAGGCAGAAAGAGAGGGAGAGTGAGAAAGTAAGCCACCAGGTCTGGGATTTGAACCATGGACAACCATGGAGGAGTGTCCAGAGCCTTAACCACCATGCCACCTGCTGGTCCCTCTTTTTTTTTTTTTTTTTAAGAAAGAGACTTTTGCTATAAGGTGTGTGTGCTCCCCAGAGAGACAGAGAGAGACAGAAAGCGAGAAATCACCCCCAGGGGGGATGGCCACTCCGCAATCCCTTCTCCTCCATTCTCCTCTCGGGATCTTGGGCATGCAAGCACATGCACCCGGCGTGAGTTTAAGCCACCAGGTCCGGGACTCGAACTGCGGTTGACTACATGGGAGTCCAGAGACATAGCCATTACGCCAACTGCTGGTCCCCAGGTAGGCACTATTATTACCTCCACTTAATAGCTGAGGACACTGAGGCACAGGGAACTGAGGTACATTGTTAGGAGATGGCAGAGACAGGATGAATTCAGTTCTGATTGGAAAACTCGACAATTATGGGATGTTATAGTCTGGCTTCATCCCGCACGTTTTAGCATCACCCTCTGAAATTCTTGGGGATAGAATTTGGGACCGCCACATTATCAGGTCATCAAGAACGTCTTGACGGGGCCAGCAGGTGGCATAGTAGTTACGGACGCTGGATTCCCATATGGCCGACCATGGTTTGAGTCCTGGACCTGGTGGCTTTCTCTCTCTCCTCTCTCTCTGGTCAAATCAAAATAAATAAATAACGTTAAATAAAATAATTAAAGATAAAAGAAAGTCATGACGTGTCTTTCTATGCAAAAATGCGAAACATTCTGATGACCCAATAAATGTGATTTCTCTTCCCCTCGGCCCTCTCCAAAGTGTGTGCATGGCTCTCTGAGCTCCGAGAACTGGGATCTCCATCCTTGGGCCCCGGGATGAAAGGGCCTCACCTGCTTTTGAGATCCACTCCATGTACCCGTTGAGCTCGCGTTCGATCTGCTGCTGCCGCCTCAGCTTCAGAAAAGCTCGCCGGTTCTCCACCCGCTCCCTTTCTTTGGCAAACTCCCTGTAGAAGCACACACACACACACACACACACACACACACGAAAGCCAGGTTTGGCTGGTTTGGATATTTCAGACTGTGTACATGGGTTTAGGGATTCACTGAAGGGCAATGGTTTTCTTTTTCTTTTCTTTTCTTTTCTTTTTTTTTAAAATAAAAACAATCTCGCAGCATTAATGGCCACCTAGTCATAACATAAGGGTAATCGACACAAGATGCGCACGTTTTTAGAACTAGCCTCGCCACGAAGGGAACTAACTACTGCCTTCTCAGCAAGCTCTCCCTTGGTTTATCAGGTCTCGGTGGAGACGCTTCATAGCAGAGTTCGATCATCTCCTTTGAACAGGATCCGACCCAGTTGTCTTCTCGACCTCGTTTTAGAATGAATCTCCCCTGCATCGTCTGATACGAGGTTGGTACACCCATCAAAACCAACAACACAGCCTTCCACCTGGATATTTACTGCTAATAGAGCCACACCTGAATCCGGGCTCGCTTCCACAAGTCTCTGAAGATGAGGTCAATGGTGCCCACCATCCCCTTCTGCACTTTCTGGCCCTGGCCTAAAAATATGGAATGCATCACGAATTTGCGTGTCATCCTTGCGCAAGGACCATGATAATCTCCTCGGTTGCGTTCCAATTTTAGTATACGTGCTGCCGAAGCGAGCACAGGGCAGTGGTTTTTGAAGGGGGCAGTCAGTCTCGGGGGCGATTGGAATGCTACGGGGACGGGGCTGTCTGCCAGCTCCCCCCATTTTCCAACAACTGCATCTATTAGCAAAAGCATGAAAATACGCCATGCCAACTATCCCGGGCTGCATAACTCGTTCTTGTTCTCCCCATATTCCTGGCTAAAAAACCGAGCAAAAAACCACTTTCAGCTTTCTTTTAAGTTAGGCCAGGAGGACATAAGCTGAAGATTTCTAAAGCCATTCTGTTTTTCCTGGTATAGATCCACCTCCCCTCTTCCTGTGTCTCGTCTTCCTCTTCCTGTTTGGAACATGGGGCGGCCATCTTGAGACCATTAGGCAGCCATACTGAGACCACGGGACAGCCATCTTGAGGCCATGAGGCAGCCATAAGGAGTCCATGGACTGGCCATCGTAAGACCATGGGACCATCTTAAGAGCATGAGGCAGCCATACTGAGACAAAGGACCGGCCATCTTGAGACCATGAGGCAGCCATATTGAGACCATGGGACAGCCATCTTAAGACCATAGGACTATCCTAAGAGCATGAGGCAGCCATATTGAGACCATGGGATGGCCATCTTGAGACTACGGGACAGCCATCTTGAGGCCATGAGGTAGCCATATTGAGACCATGGGACAGCCATCTTGAGACCATGAGGCAGCCATATTGAGACTATAGACCGGCCATCTTGAGGCCATGAGGCAGCCATATTGAGACCATAGAACGGCCATCTTGAGGCTATGAGGCAGCCATATTGAGACTATGGAACGGCCATCTTGAGACCATGAGGCAGCCATATTGAGACAATAGGACAGCCATCTTGAGGCCATGAGGCAGCCATCCTCTGATGAAGGATGTCAGAGTGTTAAAGTAGAAGAGTCTGGGGCTGCTGAGGATGTCATGAAGCCTCCACACCAGTCCCCAAACTTCTTGTGATGAGAACAATGAAATTCACGTATGATAAAGTAATAAAAGCAAAACAAGACAAAACCAAAAGTGAAACTCAGGAGGGGAGGGCAATAAATGCTTTATCCAATTTTATATTTGGAAATTTTATATCTAAAAACCTGTGTTTTTTTTATTTTAATGCAAATTACAGAAGTGAAAGCAGCCTTGAGCCTTTCACTGGGTGCCCCTGGCAGTGCACAACCTGTGCACCTGTACGTGACTGGCTAATGACAATATGGCTGACCTGAAGCAAGGGAAGAGAACTGGTCTTCGTTTGGTGAATGAAAATAAAGCATCAAAGGCCTTTTCCTGGGAAAAAGTTGGCAGACAGGAATGGGACGGGAGATTGGGGAGGAGTAGACTTACCCTGATAGCACACCCAGCACAAGGTTCAGCATAAAAAAGGAGCCGATGATGATGAGGGGGATGAAGTACAACCAGTTCCAAGTGTTCCCTGAGGCATCGTTGCTCTGTGGGGTGTGAGGAGGGAAAGCAGATGAGAGTTGAATGGGACTCAGGTGGGACCTGACCGTTGGGGCAAGGGGGAGTTCTGGTCCTCTTGGGGAATCCTTCACAAATATTCTCCATTTGTGGAGTCCTGGAGGCCTGGCAGCCCAGAGAGGAAAATGGTGGAGGGTGTCTAACCAGTGGGAGAAATCCCAGAGATACCATCAAAAGGGCAAAGCTCCCTTCTTCTTCTACTACTTCTTTTTTCTTTTTTTTTTTTTAAGAATTACTTAATTGTATTTATTATTATTATTATTATTATTATTTAATTTGACCAGAGAGAGAGATAGAGAGAGAGAGAAAGGAAGCAAGCCACCAGATCCAGGACTCGAACCATGGACTCAAGTTGCAGTCAGCCATGTGGGAGTCCAGTGCCTTAACCACCACGCCTCCTGCTGGCCCCAAGCTCTCCTCTAATCATGCAATCCTCAAAGGAACTAGAAACCAACATGAAACACAAAAGGACTTCCTGCACCGAAGTCCAGGAAGAGATAAAAATAAAAAACAGGGAAATAGAGAAATGAATCTCTGGTTCCTTCTTTCTCCCAGTAAACCACAGTTTCCCTTTAGAGGAAGTGCTTGACCACAGGGTCTGAGAGCCTGGTGAAGTCATCAAGCCAGATGGCAGGGCTAGGAGCCTTTTCCTCAAGTGTCTTCCTCCTCCAATCTCCACAGCCTCAACATCAACCAAAAATCTTCCCAGAACTGCCTGGCTCCAATTTAAGGGAGAAAGAGGTCTATAAATAGAACATTTTTCCCTGAAACAGAGAACAGAACAGTATAGCAAAACGGAAGTAAGGGCAAGGGAACAAATTCAAGACTATATACAGAGAGAGGAGGCTGTAAGAATGATAAAAACCAATATGTACAGAGTATTTACTGTGTGCTGGGCACTCTTCTAAGCACATTATGTTAATCCACTGACATCTAATCTTCATCATGTCCCTATGTTGGCCTCATGCTTATTTTACAACAGACGGAAACGAGACTTGAAGAGACAAAATCACTAGCTTGAGGTCACAGAGCTAGTCAGTGACAGACATGGGATTTGAAACCTGGGCTCCAGAATCCACAGATGTAACCTCTGTACTGGAGAAGCCTTGGTGCAAGCATTCAGGGCACAGGAAGCCTTCCAATGGCTCATTACCCTATCACCCCTGTAGAATAATGGACTTCAAGTGTGGCTTTAAAAGCCCACCTTTAAAAGCATATGCAATTCAGGAGACCAGTAGGGGGCATGGTGGTTAGGGCACTGGACATTCCCACATGGCTGACCACGTTTCAAGTCCTGGAGCTGGTGGCTTGCTTTTTCATTTTTTTTTCTCTCTCTCTCCCTCTCTGTGTCTCTCCTTGGTCAAATTAAAATGAATAAATAAAATAAAATAAATAATTCTGAAAAGAAAAAAAAAAAGCACATACAATGCTGCTGCCACCCAAAAGAAAGGCTAATATGAGAAAAATTGTTGCTAGTAGGTGTTGGTGAAGGTTGTGGGGCAACCTTCTTGTTACTTGTGGCTGCCATAACAAAAACTGCAAACTGGGTGCCTGAAACTACAGATGTCTCACAGTTCTGGAGGCTAGAAGTCCAAGATCAAGGTACTGGCAACTGCTGGTTCCTTCAATGGGCCATGAGAGAAAAATCTGTTTCACACCTCTCTCCTAACTTTGGATGGTTTGTAGCAATCTTTGTTTCTTGGGTTATAGTAGCATCACCCCAATTTCTGCCATTGTCCTCATGTGACCTTCTTACTCTGTGTGTGTTTGTCTCTGTCTAAGTTTCCTTTTTTTGTAAGGACACCAGTCACACTGGCTTAGGGTCCACCCTAATAATCTCATTTGAACGAGTTACATGGGAAATGACCCCATTTCCAAATAAGGCCATATCGTTGAGGTATTGAGGCTTAGGACTTCAACACATCGATATTTTTTGGGGGGGAGGGACACATACATTCTGTAGCACATGGTACAACCATTTTAAAAAATGGTTTGAGATATTCTACTCAAATGTTGTACCTTTAGCAAGAGCCAGTAATTGCACACCTAGATACTTAGCAAACAGAAATCTGAACCTGTGTTCATCAAAGGTATGCACAAACAGGTTCATAGCAGTGATATTCAGAATGGTGCTAAGCTTCACACAGTTCACATTTTTGTCAAGGAGAAAAAGGATACACAAATTAATATTTTGCAGTGTGTCATTGCCATAGGTCATCCAAGAACTCTTAGAAAGTTAATGTAGAACAAAAATGCCAGACAAGAAAGAGCATGTATGTAAGATTCTATAGATGCAAAATACAAAACAGGTAAACTGGTCAATGATGCTCAAAGTCCTGGCAGGTGTTCTCTTTGGCAGAGATAGTGACTAGGGAGGAATATCGGGGGGATTTTTGAGACTCAGAAGGTCCTGTTTCCTCATCTAGGTGCTAGTTTCAAGGGGGTCTTCCAAAAGTTCATAGAAAATAAAATTTCTGGCCAGTGGCATGGTAGTTAAGGAGGTTGGATATCACATGGCAGAATCCATGGTTCAAGTCCGGGACCTGGCAGCTTGAAAAACATGCTGGGTGCTTGTGCATGTGAGCCTGAAACCCCAAGAGGAGAGAGGGAGGAGAAGGGGTTGTGGCATGGCCATCCTGCCAGGGGGTGATTTCTAATTTTTTCTCTCTCTCTGGCAAGTGCATGTACTCTATAGCAAAAAAAAAAAAAAAAAAAAAAAAAAAAAAAAAAAAAAAAAAAAAAAAAAAAGGAAAGAAAAGAAAATACGTATTCTGAAAACATGATGCATGAATTTCAATTTTTTTTGCACCAAAGTAACTTCTACCTTATATTTTAATTCCATTTTCCCAAGAACATCTTAAAATCCCCTCATATATAGGTGTGTCTAGTTTATGAAAATTCATCACATTCTTCTCTCATGAATCACTAGGTTTTCTGCATGTTTATTTTACTTCGACCTAAAAAAACACCTTTTTTAAAAGTAATTATTTTATTTAAATTTATTTATTTATTTTAATTTGACCAGAGAGGGATAGAAGAGAAAGAGGGAAAGAAAGCAAGCCGCCAGGTCCATGAGTTGAACTGTGGTTGGCCATATGGGCATCTAGAACCCTTAATCACCATGCCACCTGCTGGCCCCTAAAAAAACTTTAAAAAAGGTCTACTTCACTTAAAAAAAGACTAGATTTTAAAAATGTGGCATATATATACAATGGGATACTACTCAGCCATAAAGAACAGTGAGACTCTGTCATTCAATATGAAGTGACTATGTCTAGAAAATTTAATGCTAAGTGAAATAAGCTTGTTTATGAAAGACAAACACTGTATATCCCCACTCAATATGCACTCAATGTCTGCACTCTATGGTAGAAATAGAAATATATGAAGATATACAAGTAGAGAGGACAACTGTAGATATCAGATGGGGTAGGGTGGTAGGGGTTCAGGAAAAAAAAAATTTCACAGACACAAGAATGTAAGATTCCTTGTTGAAAACAATATATATGACAATATCTTTGATTTG